GTCTTCGACCTGAAAAATCAGGGGTTAGGATTTGCACCCGGTCGAAAGAAACCTTGCTATCGCAAGAGTAACTCCAGCTAGCTTCGCTAGCTTTCGTGATATACTGTAACTATATAATTCATAAATTGTGCTTTGCATAATTTGTGTTGGACAAGTTACCAACTAAGCCACTAAGCCGCAGGGTGCTTGCCGTGTGTACATCGGGAAAGCCCCAGTGATGCTTCGCCGGCGGATCGTGTTGCCGAACGCCCGTCCCGTCTCCTCCCGAAGCATCGCCATGCGACCATGGCAGTCCAAATCTCATCAAAAGCGCCAATCAGTTCCTGCCGGGGGAACATGCAGCGTGTTGCGCTGCAAAATATGTCAAGAAATTGAAGTGCCCCAGGGCCCTCGTGGGCAAAGGGTGGCTTCGAAAGAAAGCACGATCCTGCGTTGAACATGGGTGTCACGCAGCTTGATTCTTGGTCTGCACAAACACACCCAGACACACACACACACACATACCACGCAAATTGGCTGCGCAAATGGGCTTGGAACATGGGCCCTCATCTGCCCTGGGGTGGACCAGGAATGCGCGTCCGTTCGTGCATGTTTGAGACCAGCTTCCGTGGTTCTGCCTTCAGACGTTTAAAGACCACGGACTTTGACAGAACTGGTAAGTTTCATCTCCCATGATCATTGGGTTTTATCATAGTGACAGCAGGAGGTTTGTGTCCCTGACTGTTCTGATAAGGACATCGTTGTCAACAAAATGTGAAAACCAAAAATAGGTCAAAGTCCTGGCATTGTGTTGGTTCTGCACGCGCACGCACGCGGACACCTGTGGCGCTTTTGTATGCGACCTTGCTTTGTCCGTTGGCCCATCACAAGTTTTACACTTGCGCAGTCCTGATGAGACAGCGCGTAGTTGTCCACACAGAGCCTCTCTGCCAGCTTAAAGACTTCCGTCCTGGCAAAAAGGGACAAATGAAGAGCTACTTCAAGCGAACTCTTGCATCTCTTGTCTCAAATGTTTGCATGATTTTTGGAGAACTCCAATTATGAACCACCAACTCACCAACTGGGAAAGAGTACCACTACACCCTCGAGCAAGCCAAACTAAACTCGACTGGAAGTTGGCCAAGGCGAAGGCCAAGGCGAACAAAACACGATTGATCATTTCAGGATGCTATGTAAAGTAGTCTTCTCACCTAATCATACTGCAGGTCTAGAGGTTGCATCTCAACTATTTAATTGATTGGCCCGGAAAATGCACACGGAGTTGCACGTCCTGGCAACTCTGATTGTGATGCATCTTAACTCCAGAACCCGTCAAGGAGCCCCTGGACAAACTATACCTTTAGAATCCTTTAGAACATCTTGGACATCCTCAGCCTCAGCTCAATCAAAAAGCATAGTTTTGGCAATGTTTTTTCAACTTCCTGATTCCTAACTGTTTCATAATCTGTGTCGTGGACCGAGTGAGGCATCTGCGGGCTACCTCCGTGCGCTACCTGCCCACATGACCACGAACGTCATGCACTTCAGAGTTTTCAGGACCATGTGGTCTTGTAGGTTTAGATTCCTCTGACAGTGTAGCTTTCAACTTTTCATTGGAGCAAGTGCAAGAGGTCTCGCTTCGTTCTTGGGCCAACCTACTGTTTCTGAGGATTGTTTCTGTTCGGTTTCTACCCACCCTAGCTACCCACCCATTGGGAAACCAACTTCCTCCCATCGAGACAAATGCAGCTCAAAAATTGCACCGGTCAAGCTTTTACACCCTAATGCGTAGAGATATAATCACAGCCAAGAGGTTCAACTCCAGGATGCTCAAAAATCATCAAGCATTACCCATGCATGTTCATCAAATTGTGTCAATCATCTAGATAAAACTCTCAGTAAATCTGCTGTATCATCCGATAAGCACACCCCGCCACACTTCACCTTACTAAGCCCATCTTCAAGGTTACTCACTCCTTGATCCACACCATTCACCCTCCAGACGGCGCCACCGCAGGGCCCTCCGGGCCTCTCGAGCTCCCCCGACTCGTCCACATCGTTCTCGGTGAAGAGCCGCCGCACGCGCGCGAAGCGGCCTTCCTGACGGGACTGGACGTGGTGAAGGAGCCGCGGACTGGTTGGGAGACAGAAGGAGCCAACGGTTGGGCAAAAAGAAGGCCAAGTGAACCACATTGAACCACTATATCATATATATATATAGGTGCGATCGGGTGCGATATATGTGCATGCGTGTGGTCATTTTACGTCATTTTGCTCACGGGATTTGAGGAGACATGACGAGACATGAATACTTGTTTATCACTTTGTTTATCTTGTTTGCACAAAAATCTTACGGGGTTCGTCAAGGATCTGAAGGAACCCCCAACCATGAATTTATATCCTGCTTGGTCAACATCTCCAACTATAGTTGGACTCAACAAATGCCAACTGCCATGTCGTTGGACCAACTGCCAACTGACTTCTCATGCCGGCTCGACCGTTCTGAGTTCGACAAAATGTCCGTCCTAAAGCCTCTGGGACCGAGTTTTCTTCTCCATGCGCCTCTCAACATAAGTTCACACGTACGGAGGTTCCATAGTCACTGTAGCGATGATGAGTCATAGGACCTTTAGTGAGAATCACGATAGTCAGAATCCTTTGCCGGGCGCAGGGCTTAGAGAAACTCAACATGTTGACGGAATCCTTCACCGAATGGAAGATCTTGACACCGAATGAGCTTAGCTGATCCACTGGTGCAAAACCGGACCCTCCCGTGTCGCTTTATTCGCTCGACTCCCCCGTCGGAGATGATGCGAAACAATGGAAACCTCTTCCGTGAAGCTCTATAGCCATCGGTGGCCCCACTGAAGCTCTGATGTGAAACCAGGAAGCCTCTGGTGCGTTCTCTTCCATGTTGGCCTGGAATCGCTTCCATCCAAAAGCCACGGTTACAACAAGGCATCGCTTCCGGACGTCACGGACGTCCTTTCTTCCAAAGTCGGATGGAAGTGAACACCACACTGGAGCTTGAACGCCAACACTGGAGTTCGCCTCCTTTGAAGCAGACCACATGCTATTCAATGCTTTCCAACTATTCATTCAATGATCGTCTGGTGCCCACTTCGTCAGTGGACGGGAAATCATACATCTTGAACAATATGATTCTGCAAGCAAATGTCTCTCTCTCTCTCTCTTTCTGCCTCTGTGGGTGTCCTCGCTCCCGCCTGCTCATCAGAAGCGAATCCTTGAGCCAACGCCGTCGCGGTCTTCTTCAGCATCCGCATCACCTCAGTCCCCCGAAAGAACGGAATCATCCCACAAACCAGAACCAGGCTGAACCATGCTGAACCGGACATGGTGAAACGGTGCTTTTCAGGAACCGCTCCGCCCAACCGCACCGCAAATAACCGTAGGTTCCAGTCAGCGACCGGATGGTCGATCATTTGGATCTATCTATAGGACTGAACATCCTCTTCACAGGCGTGTCCTGCCCAATCATTGGACAGTCGAGTTATGCCTAATTTACAAAGGCCATCTTACGACTGGCCAAGCACAGGTTCTCAATGCCAATGAGACAAAGCACATACACAAGTGCACATCTCAATCGCCAAAGAACATGCCACGCCCCCTATTATCCTTTCCCTGCTTCTGACATCTGCTTCCTACCTGAACACAGCCGGCTACTTGCCCATGTCCGAGTATGTCTGAGCGTTCGGCAAGGAAAAAAAAAAGAAAATTTCCTGGACCGTCCTATAAAATTGGATTATCTTCCATTGCATCCAGAACTGAGTGTCAGCCAAGCTGCAGCTAAAGAGACTGAGAGGCTCGCCATAGGTAAACGAATATTGGCCGATCCTTGTTCATGAAAGGCAAATGAGATCTTTTGATATGATCAGTGGTGAAGTATTAATTGCGCATATAGTAGTTGCACGAGTAGTTGCATTATTGATTCGAAAGTGCTATACTTGGCGATTGGGAATCTTTCTAGGGTTTCTGGAGCAAGGCAAAAGCATCGATAATAGCGGCAAGGACTCGTATGGACTCGTCATTCGATGCGAGGGCTGGGTGTAGAGCACAAAACAACCCATTTCGGATATGCCAAAACATGCAGCAAACTGTAAATCAGCAGTTTCAACATCGTATGAGTGAAGCACTCCACCAACCCACGGAACCATAGAAGCACTAGCTGAAATAATCATGAAAGTGGAACATCACCTGTTTGTAAAGAACAATGTTCATCCAAGGGGCCATTTTCAACTTCCATGGTCCATGATTGTTCCAAATAGTGCGATGCCTATTCCTTTTATCCCAAGACAACCACATGCAAACTGCTCTTCGTTTCGTCGCTTGGATGTGCGCCATCCCTAGGACTGCAGGGCATTCAAGGCAGTACAGGAATTGATGCTCCTCTCAGCGCGGCCAAGGGTCTCAATGGTACCTTTGCCCCGGTGCTGGGCGTATACCAGGAAGCCACATATCTCAGCCTGCCAAAGTGCGGACATCGTGGAATCTTTTGCCAATGGAATTAGTTCACGCGTGAAATAAACATGTAGTGCGCTGACACCTATGCATATGACAAAGGGTGTTATAAACAGCTGCTCTTGAAGACCACATCTTCAGTCCAGTGTGTTGTTTCCTTCGGACATGTCATACTGCATGGCACAGTAGCTGTTCAGGGTTGGTGTTAAATTTCTTTCCAATGGCTCGTCCAAGTAACTCCACCAATGACATCGGCTCCATGATCTTGTACCCTCCTGGCAGCAACGGTTGGAGTCTGACACTGCTCAAGGAAACAGACTAGATACACCAACTCTACGTTGTGCTGTCAGTTTAGCGCAAAAATACGGTGATTTCTTGAATGTGTATAAATGAGTACGTTCCAGGCGCATGTACAGTTTGATCTGTGTGTGTGTGCGCGTCTGGGGGGGGGTCACGTGTGCATACATCTTGCAGTGTGCTGCATGCAAACACCTTGAGAAATGTGAACATGTATGGCGTGCATCTTGTGATGACATGATCAAGAAACATCAACCATCAACCACCTCCTTTACAGGCGCTTCACCAGATTGCCAGCTTCACTCCATTTTCTTCCGGACCACGACAGTCGCTATCATGCCGCGGAGGCCTGGTGCCACCACAGAGGGGGCATCCACCGATAAGACCAGTGATTCCTCGCTGGGACTGGACACAAGTGTGGCATTGATGACATCCGCGGACACCTCGGAAAACCCACGCGAAAAGCTGAGAAACACGCAGTCAATCCGAAGAAGAATGACGAAGGCCTGGGTTAACATTAGTTTCATCACCTCCGCTTCTTTGAGTCTCAGGTCCTGTGGTATGTCCTGATCGTGTAATTATGTCTTGCTGACCCACCGGAGGTGATCAGTTGACACCTGAGGCTGCAAGTAGACACTGCGCGACCCAGTGCTCTTGGTCTCAGGGGTGCACATTCCAGTTCAATCGCTATCCCGTTCGTGATTTTCCTGTCGCCCGTAGCAAGGCACATTGAGATTTAATATTTAAATGCTTCATTCTGATGAGGTTTTTCATGGTTTTTCACTTTTGCCATTCGCAAAATGGTTTGCCCGTGTGGCATGGACTGATTCCCTTTTGGAGTCTGTCACCTTGTCTTGACCACACCCCCATCCCTGCAGCCGCAGCACCACTAAGCCATCGTAGTCCAGGTCAGTCTTGGGCACCAAATCCGACATCTTGGAGGGAAGCTGCGGCTTGAGGGGTAGCACCGCACCTGGGTGCGGCCGCGAGCGCCACAGCGAAGCGAGTGTGACTTGAGCAAGGCAGTCCTGAATGTACAGCTGTTTGGATCAAGCATGCAGCATGCGGCTGTAAAATTTCAGGGGGTCCTCCTCTCACTGCGTCCAAAGCGATCTTGGAGTGGTTTCCACCATCCCACAGCCAGACTGAGGATTATAAGAACGTCTTCAACGATCATGTGGACTCCTGACAGTTCGAATCTCCTTGAAGTCTTGGGATCGTTCAGTAGCGAAACTGATCACTTCCAGATCACTTTGTAGGAAGCATGTGATGCGATCGCTCCAAGGCACAACTCTCTCGCACATCCATTTCAAAATGTAAAGCCATCCCTGCGCAGCGGTGATCGGTCATTAGGCACCATTAGGCACCCAGCTTGGTGGGGAGGTACACTGGACCCCGCTTCCCGAGCGTGGCAGCGTGGCAGCGGGCTCGAGAAAAGTGGGTCTCGACCATCTCCAACCAAAACCGAGGTGATCCCTAGTAGCGATGGGCAATGGCCTCCAACCTAGTAACAATGGCCTCCAACCTAATAGCAATGGCCTCCAACCTAATGGCAATGGCATCCACGGCATCCAACCTAGTAGCAATGGCCTCCAACCTAATAGCAATGGCATCCATGGCCTCCAACCTAGCAGCAATGGCCTCCAATCTAATAGCAATGGCCTGCATGGCCTCCAACCTAGTAGCAATGGCCTCCAACCTAGTAGCAATGGCCTCCAACCTAATAGCAAAGGCCTCCAACCTAATAGCAATGGCCTCCATGGCCTCCAACCTAGTAG